ATCTAACAAAATAGTGATAAACTTACGCGCTGTATTTAAAAATTTTAAAAGAAGGAAACGGTTTGTATTTTTTTTTAGATAATAAATTATTTTATAAAGGGTCTGTTAGCCCCCCCCCCCCTTTCTAGAAAGCTATACGAATTAGCCAGGCACGTAGCATCGTCTTTAAAAGGGGGGTAGGCAAAGAAACATTTTTTCTTACCTTGAAAAGTTGGCAAGCAAAGAAAAACCTTGCCCAAAGTTGAAAAAGCTACTTATTTCAGTACCAGTTCCTTGGCATACAATACTACATTTGCCTTATAAAACTTTACCGTAGTATTAACTGTGTGTGTGTGTGTGGGGGGGGGGGGGGGGAAGCATTGGCAACCTGTCTATCAATGAACATTTTCAATAGAAAAAGTAATATTGGGGGAAAAAGTGGGGGTGGGGCTAAGCCACTTGACCCCCCCCCCCCCCCCCCCCCCCCGTGCGTACAGGTACAGAGAACGAATAATTATGTAAATGGGTTGAACAGTTGAATATGAACCATAGTTGTGAAAATTGAAAATTATTAGAATTATTAGTTGTGAATTCAATAAAATTACGGTACATATATTTTTTCACAGATGTACATGTATGTCAGTTACACGGGGTTACATGAGTCTCTCTCTCTCTCTCTCTCTCTCATATTGTTTTTTACACACTTTGCAAAAAAGAATAACTTATAAAAATAAATACATGTACTTACACTGAAAGGATTTTAAAAAAATAAATAACACTTGAGAAAAGAATGTTTTCCGTTAATAAACGAGAAATACGCTAGGAAATTATTGTATCAATTTCGTGTTTCTGCTCTCAATTCTCTGATCTTAAACAAGATGTGTATTTTACTCGGAAATATACATGTACATATGCTTAGATCCTACACTAAAACTTTGATTAAATGCAGCTCAGACTTTATACGACATATGTAACACGAATTCAGGTCAATGCTATTTTAATTACTCTTTCTTCGTTACATGAGGATATGAGATTAAATTATTCATTTAGAATTCCATTCAAAGTTTTTATACTATATAGTCAATCAATTATTTTACAAATTAAAAATTCTAGAAACACTGTTAATTCAAATGAAATAGGCCTTTAATTGTCACCAAATGTGTTCTTGTAAGTAAAAGTTCTATGTTATGACATACAATCGAGCAAAAACGCAGTTTCTTGGTATCGGTCGCGGAAAACGAACTTCTGCTGTATATGCGGCAATTTCAGAGGTAAAACTGTAGATGGACATGTCATCAGTCTCCAAAAAATTCCTAGAGATACAAAGAAAATATGGCTGCAGCAGGCTAGATTATTTCGTAAAAACTTTATAACTAAAATTTGTTCCGCACATTTTGTTAATAATGATGATCCGTCTGCAGAACATCCACTACCGAAAATTAGCTTTTTTTTTAAATAGGCCTATTCGAATATGTATCGGCATTTTATCAGTAATTTGTTTCGTTTTTTTTTTTTGTAAGGGGGGGGGGGGGGGGGTCACACAGCACCTTATTATAGTACTACACAGATTAATACAAATCCAGAAAGAGACTATGAGTGGGCAATTTAAAAAAATACGAATCAGTTAAGATTTCTTTTTATTCACAAACACAATAACATTTTTCCATATGACAGAGGCATTACACCATGAACATGTTTTCATCAAGAACGTCCGCGGAAGTGACTTTATTTATAGCGCATGCGTATTAAACACAGTAAAAGAGTTCCCTTCAGGGGAAATAACTCACCTTTTGAAAATGGGGAATACACCCTGATGAACTTACAAAAATCAAAAGAAGAACTTTAAAATTTTAACAAAATTTAATAACAAAATTAAAGAACAAAATAAACAGAAATTTTAACAAAAAAAATTAACCAAAAAAAAAATGTACAAAATAGAATAAATTGAAAATGTCTTTGTTAATTGGTCCTGGTCCACGTCAGTCAGTGCGCATGTCCCTTGGTATGAATTGGTCCCGTTTGCCCTGGTCCTTCCGTACGTGCGGAAATCCTCCGAGAACCGATTTTTCCAGTTTCCTATTAGTATGGCTACACGGAACAATGTTAATTAATAACGGGATGCGTGACACACTGGGTTCCTCTCGGGTTCCAGAGACAATGGTCCGACGCCAGGCTCAACACTTTGAAATGTCTTTCAATGAAACTAAATATTCAGAATTATTTCCAAATTCACAATAGTTATAATTCTCAAACTTTCACAATGTTTCGTTCATATAAAGACTTTAATTCAGATAATGAAATGATCAACGAGGGTCACCGCCCGATGATATACTAGTAACTCACAGAACTGGTTTTAGAGATGTGTCGTATGGGCCGCCATAGTTCACTCACACGCTACGGTCTCTGTCACACACCATAACATGGAAATGGCTACTCTCAAATAAAGAGTTTCAGTACCCGATAGTTTACATACTCTGTAACATTCTGTAGAGAGACTTTTAGGCATGAAAATAAGTCACAAGACCCATGTGGTTTTCTATGGAAGGCGTCCTGGTAGCACTAGACGAACACGTCTATCGGCTGATGTTTTCCCGGGTACTCCCCAGAGCACGCTTTAACTTTACTATTTAAAGTAAAACGAGGGGCTCCCCACAGGGCTGCTATGTTACTATGGGAACTAAAGGAATTTAGGGGCTCCCCACAGTGTTATTACACAAGTTACCGGAAGGGTGAACCCAGGGGATTTATTTACAATGTAATGAAGAATTTCCGTTTGTTACATACCTCCCCCTTATAAGACTAAAGACCATTTAGTCCGGCCAAACCTACAAACTGAAAATTAAAATAAACAAACTCAGACTATTTACAACAAAGCATTATATATACAATATACCTGCAACAAAAGTAATCTCAGATAATTACTCAACCACATCATCTGAACATAACCTTGATAGTGAGTCTGCTACTGTATTCTGTGTACCACGAATATACCTAATCGAGAACACAAACTCTTGCAAAAGAAGACTCCAACGTAACAAACGTTGATTTGATAACTTTGACCTTTGTAACCATTGCAAAGGTGCATGATCAGTCTCAATTTTGAATGGTTTACCTTCTAAATAGACTATGAGACTCTGGACCGCCCACACAACAGCAAAGCACTCTTTTTCTACTACAGCATAATTTCTCTCCGCAGGACTGAACTTTTTGCTAAGAAAACAAATTGGATGCTTACCGTCTTCAAACTCTTGCTCTAGCACCGCGCCTGCTCCGTATGCACTTGCATCTGTGCGCAAAATGAATGATCTACTGAAATCTGGACTTCGAAGAACTGGTTCTGAAAGTAACTTACCTTTTAGTTCTTGGAAAGAGTGATCAAGTTCGCTTGTCCATTTGATTTTGCTAGGTGTTTTCTTGCTCGTCAAGTCTGTAAGCGGAAGTGCTAAAGTGGCAAAATTAGGAATGAACTTCCGGTAAAACCCAATCATACCTAAAAATGACTTTACCTTTTTCTTGGTTGTCGGAATGGGAAAGTTCTGAATGGATTCTACTTTTGACATCATTGGCTTGATTTTTCCACTTCCTACAGTATGACCAAGAAAACAAAGTTCATTGAAACCAAACTCACATTTTGTAGGTCGAGCTGCTAAGTTCGCTTTCCTCAACGCTGAAAACACTGTTCTCAGATGCTCAAGGTGTTCTGTCCAGCTGTTGCTATAGATACCAATATCATCAATGAAAGCCTCTGTGAAATCTTCCAGCCCTGTAAGAACTTTACTTACCAGTCTAACGAAAGTGGCCGGTGCATTCACCATCCCGAACGGCATGACTGTAAAACTGAAATGTCCAAATGGAGTTACAAATGCACTTTTCCGTTTTGCATCCTCGTCTAATGGCACTTGCCAATAACCTTTTGTCAAGTCCAATTTGCTTATGAATTTTGCTTTACTGGTCTTAATCAAAATGTCATCTATTCGAGGCATTGGCCTTGGGTCAAATACAGTTACCTTATTCAACTCCCGGAAGTCGACGCAGAATCTCAATGATTTGTCACTCTTCTTAATGAGGACGACTGGTGCTGAATAAGGACTGTCTGTTTCCTCAATGATACCAAGATCCATCATTTGCTGTAACTCCCGCTTCACTTGATCTTGTAAGGCATATGGAATCGGGTATGGTTTCATATGGATGGGCACATCTGTAGACGTTTTCACTGAGTGTTTCGTCAAAGGCGTTTTCTTGGGAACATCTGTAAAAATATCACCAAATTCTTCCACTAACCTCTGAATCTGATCCCTTTGCTCTGTGGTGAGGTTGTTTGAATACTGAACGTTGGCTGACGATTCTGTCTGTCGAAGGGCCGGGACTTTATCCGACACCACACCGTCTTCTATCTGAACATCATTGCTAGATAAACTGGAAATAACATTCAGGCATGCCATTATTTCAGACTTACTGTTTTCCTCTGACTCTCTCTCAAACCATTCCTTCAGCATATTGACGTGATAAACAGTTTCTTTGTTTTTGGACAGCCTGACCTTGAAATCAACGGGACTTCCCTTTTCTGTCACCTCATATGGACCCTTCCACTGCGCCAATAATTTCGAAGTAATTGTTGGCAATAACACTAAAACTTTCTGACCTACTTCAAAATTCCTGCCTCTGGCGTTTTTGTCATAATATCTCTTCTGTTTCTTCTTTGCATGGGATTCCACTTCTGTTACGCCCTCCCATTTGTGACCCTCAAGGTTGAAATGTTCCCCAACGGGTTCATTGAGTTTTTTGGTCCTTATGGTCGAACGGTGGAATTTTTAAGAACACTAATAAAGAAAGAAATCCGGACCGCTATGAAATGCGTCCGGTCTATCGGGTATACTCGGGTGAAGTGCGATTTACATAATTGAACGAATTAATTATGCTAATTAATTACGACAATCAGTAAATCGTACATTGTTTCATTCTCTCAAAATGGCGTAACTTTACTTAATAAAGAATAATCGAAGAAAAATAATATAGCAGGGATGAGAGCTCTTAAAGAGAAAGAGTTAGAGAAGAGTAAAACTGGTCCCTCCCCCCAGAGCATTCACACCCCTAGTGTAAATTTACCCAAATTTGAAGAAGGTCAAGACCCTGACGTTTTTCTAAAATCTTTTGAGAAAATAGCGGGGTTACAAAAGTGGGATCAATCTCAATGGGCGGTTCGTTTAGTCCCAATGCTATCGGGTAAGGCTCTTGAAGCTTATTCTAGATTGTCAGATGAGGATAGCGATAATTACGATGCTATAAAAACTGCTATTCTTAAAAGGTATGAACTTACCTCAGGGGCCTATAGGGATAAGTTTAGGCAGTGTCGACAGTCTAGTGATGAATCGTTCAAAGATTTTGTAGTTAGGACAGAGAGGTTCTTTAATCATTGGTGTGAAAGGGAAGAAATTGGTTCAAACTTTCATAAGTTGTTTGATTTGATGTTGAGAGAACAGGTGATAAGAAGTTGTTCAAAAGAGTTGCAACTGTGGGTACTTGAACACAGTCCAAAGTCTATAAAAGAAGTTATAACTTTGTCAGAGTCATTTCAGGTTGCACATAAAGGCAGTTATTCAGGCAGTGGTCGTGGTAACGCAGGGGAAAAACCGGGTTCAAAACCAAATAAGTTTGGTTCGGTTCAGTCCCATAAAGGTAAGTTTATCTCGCCTTTAGATCAGAGGAAATGTTTTAAGTGTGACAAGGTCGGGCATATTGCTCCGAATTGTCCATTGCGTAAAGTTCAGTCAAAATCTCCTCTGAATCAGAAACCAGGTAACCACAAGTCTAATGAACAGTTTGGTTTGTGTCTTGATGAGACAATGACAGTATCTGAGGATTCTGATAGTGTTCATGAGAATAAAGTGGTGGTTAAGTTGTCTGGTGTATCGATTACTGATGATTCTGCTTTAGAATTAAGTTGTGAAACAGGTTTAGATTTGGTGAGTGGAGAAGTCGGTGGACATGTTGTCTCAGTTTTAAGGGATACTGGTTGTTCAACGGTGTTTGTCAACAGTAAATTAGTTTCAGATGAGGATAAGACTGGGAAATCAAGGGTAATTACTCTAGCTGACGGTACAAGGAGATCTTGCAATGAGGCAATAGTAAGTGTGAATACGCCATACATTTCAGGTAAGGTACACGCTTTATGTCTAGATTCTCCTTTTGCTGATGTTATTATTGGCAACAATGTGAGCATTGTAGTACCTAAGGAGGCAGACCCTTTACCCAGGATGGAGAAGGTGGACACAGTCGAAGATGACGCATGCGGAGCGGTCCAAACTAGATCAGAGCTAAGGAAACAAGAGAGGGCAGAAAAACCAAAACTGGATGACTTAAAAGCATCGAACACCGAGAATGAAGGTATGTGGTGTAACAGGGAGGAATTGATTGAGCATCAGAAAACTGATGAGAGCTTGAAGTCAATTCTAGATATGGCACAAAATGGTCCATATGAGGGTAAGTCATATTTCATCTTGAAAAATGATTTATTGTATGGAGTTTTTGAGAAGAATTCTGACGAAAAAGTCTTCCAGATTGTAGCTCCAAAGAAACTGCGCACTGGTATTATGTCATTAGCTCATGACACACCATTGGCTGGGCATCTTGGAAACAAGAAAACCAGAGAACGAATCCTGCAAAACTTCTTTTGGCCGGGTATGTATGTGGACATATCACATTATTGTAAGTCATGCTCTATTTGTCAGAAGGGGATGCAGAAAGGGAGAACGCCGAGAGCAAAACTGGTGCCAATTCCAAAGATAGACGTTCCATTTTCCAGAGTCGCCATTGACTTTGTGGGTCCATTACCAATGACAAAAAAGAAAAACAGATATATTTTGGTATGTATGGACTATGCTACTAGATTTCCGGAAGCATTTCCGATGAAATGTCAAGACGCAGAAAGTGTGGCAAATGCGCTTATGGAAATGTTCTCAAGGGTAGGCTTTCCTAAAGAAATTTTATCAGACCAGGGAACAAATTTCATGTCATCACTCATATCAAACCTGTGCAAAATGCTAAAAGTGCGTAAACTGTCAACTACCCCTTATCATCCTCAAGCTAACGGGCTAGTAGAACGATTTAATGGGACTCTTAAGCAAATGTTGAAAGCATATGCAGTTGTAGAGCCATTAAAATGGGATGTTCATTTACCATATGTACTCTTTGCCTACAGAGATGTCCCGAATGAAACGACAGGTTTTACTCCCTTCGAACTTCTTTATGCCAGACATGTCAGGGGTCCACTAGACATCTTAAAGGAGCAATGGGAAGAACCAACCGAGGAACAAGCATCAGTCCTAAGTTATCTCATGGAAACACGTGAACGAATGGAGATGGTACGTAAGTTGGTAACAGAAGTGGAATCCCATGCAAAGAAGAAACAGAAGAGATATTATGACAAAAACGCCAGAGGCAGGAATTTTGAAGTAGGTCAGAAAGTTTTAGTGTTATTGCCAACAATTACTTCGAAATTATTGGCGCAGTGGAAGGGTCCATATGAGGTGACAGAAAAGGGAAGTCCCGTTGATTTCAAGGTCAGGCTGTCCAAAAACAAAGAAACTGTTTATCACGTCAATATGCTGAAGGAATGGTTTGAGAGAGAGTCAGAGGAAAACAGTAAGTCTGAAATAATGGCATGCCTGAATGTTATTTCCAGTTTATCTAGCAATGATGTTCAGATAGAAGACGGTGTGGTGTCGGATAAAGTCCCGGCCCTTCGACAGACAGAATCGTCAGCCAACGTTCAGTATTCAAACAACCTCACCACAGAGCAAAGGGATCAGATTCAGAGGTTAGTGGAAGAATTTGGTGATATTTTTACAGATGTTCCCAAGAAAACGCCTTTGACGAAACACTCAGTGAAAACGTCTACAGATGTGCCCATCCATATGAAACCATACCCGATTCCATATGCCTTACAAGATCAAGTGAAGCGGGAGTTACAGCAAATGATGGATCTTGGTATCATTGAGGAAACAGACAGTCCTTATTCAGCACCAGTCGTCCTCATTAAGAAGAGTGACAAATCATTGAGATTCTGCGTCGACTTCCGGGAGTTGAATAAGGTAACTGTATTTGACCCAAGGCCAATGCCTCGAATAGATGACATTTTGATTAAGACCAATAAAGCAAAATTCATAAGCAAATTGGACTTGACAAAAGGTTATTGGCAAGTGCCATTAGACGAGGATGCAAAACGGAAAAGTGCATTTGTAACTCCATTTGGACATTTCAGTTTTACAGTCATGCCGTTCGGGATGGTGAATGCACCGGCCACTTTCGTTAGACTGGTAAGTAAAGTTCTTACAGGGCTGGAAGATTTCACAGAGGCTTTCATTGATGATATTGGTATCTATAGCAACAGCTGGACAGAACACCTTGAGCATCTGAGAACAGTGTTTTCAGCGTTGAGGAAAGCGAACTTAGCAGCTCGACCTACAAAATGTGAGTTTGGTTTCAATGAACTTTGTTTTCTTGGTCATACTGTAGGAAGTGGAAAAATCAAGCCAATGATGTCAAAAGTAGAATCCATTCAGAACTTTCCCATTCCGACAACCAAGAAAAAGGTAAAGTCATTTTTAGGTATGATTGGGTTTTACCGGAAGTTCATTCCTAATTTTGCCACTTTAGCACTTCCGCTTACAGACTTGACGAGCAAGAAAACACCTAGCAAAATCAAATGGACAAGCGAACTTGATCACTCTTTCCAAGAACTAAAAGGTAAGTTACTTTCAGAACCAGTTCTTCGAAGTCCAGATTTCAGTAGATCATTCATTTTGCGCACAGATGCAAGTGCATACGGAGCAGGCGCGGTGCTAGAGCAAGAGTTTGAAGACGGTAAGCATCCAATTTGTTTTCTTAGCAAAAAGTTCAGTCCTGCGGAGAGAAATTATGCTGTAGTAGAAAAAGAGTGCTTTGCTGTTGTGTGGGCGGTCCAGAGTCTCATAGTCTATTTAGAAGGTAAACCATTCAAAATTGAGACTGATCATGCACCTTTGCAATGGTTACAAAGGTCAAAGTTATCAAATCAACGTTTGTTACGTTGGAGTCTTCTTTTGCAAGAGTTTGTGTTCTCGATTAGGTATATTCGTGGTACACAGAATACAGTAGCAGACTCACTATCAAGGTTATGTTCAGATGATGTGGTTGAGTAATTATCTGAGATTACTTTTGTTGCAGGTATATTGTATATATAATGCTTTGTTGTAAATAGTCTGAGTTTGTTTATTTTAATTTTCAGTTTGTAGGTTTGGCCGGACTAAATGGTCTTTAGTCTTATAAGGGGGAGGTATGTAACAAACGGAAATTCTTCATTACATTGTAAATAAATCCCCTGGGTTCACCCTTCCGGTAACTTGTGTAATAACACTGTGGGGAGCCCCTAAATTCCTTTAGTTCCCATAGTAACATAGCAGCCCTGTGGGGAGCCCCTCGTTTTACTTTAAATAGTAAAGTTAAAGCGTGCTCTGGGGAGTACCCGGGAAAACATCAGCCGATAGACGTGTTCGTCTAGTGCTACCAGGACGCCTTCCATAGAAAACCACATGGGTCTTGTGACTTATTTTCATGCCTAAAAGTCTCTCTACAGAATGTTACAGAGTATGTAAACTATCGGGTACTGAAACTCTTTATTTGAGAGTAGCCATTTCCATGTTATGGTGTGTGACAGAGACCGAAGCGTGTGAGTGAACTATGGCGGCCCATACGACACATCTCTAAAACCAGTTCTGTGAGTTACTAGTATATCATCGGGCGGTGACCCTCGTTGATCATTTCATTATCTGAATTAAAGTCTTTATATGAACGAAACATTGTGAAAGTTTGAGAATTATAACTATTGTGAATTTGGAAATAATTCTGAATATTTAGTTTCATTGAAAGACATTTCAAAGTGTTGAGCCTGGCGTCGGACCATTGTCTCTGGAACCCGAGAGGAACCCAGTGTGTCACGCATCCCGTTATTAATTAACATTGTTCCGTGTAGCCATACTAATAGGAAACTGGAAAAATCGGTTCTCGGAGGATTTCCGCACGTACGGAAGGACCAGGGCAAACGGGACCAATTCATACCAAGGGACATGCGCACTGACTGACGTGGACCAGGACCAATTAACAAAGACATTTTCAATTTATTCTATTTTGTACATTTTTTTTTTTGGTTAATTTTTTTTGTTAAAATTTCTGTTTATTTTGTTCTTTAATTTTGTTATTAAATTTTGTTAAAATTTTAAAGTTCTTCTTTTGATTTTTGTAAGTTCATCAGGGTGTATTCCCCATTTTCAAAAGGTGAGTTATTTCCCCTGAAGGGAACTCTTTTACTGTGTTTAATACGCATGCACTATAAATAAAGTCACTTCCGCGGACGTTCTTGATGAAAACATGTTCATGGTGTAATGCCTCTGTCATATGGAAAAATGTTATTGTGTTTGTGAATAAAAAGAAATCTTAACTGATTCGTATTTTTTTAAATTGCCCACTCATAGTCTCTTTCTGGATTTGTATTAATCTGTGTAGTACTATAATAAGGTGCTGTGTGACCCCCACCCCCCACCCCCCACCCCTTACAAAAAAAAAAAACGAAAAAATTACTGATAAAATGCCGATACATATTCGAATAGGCCTATTTAAAAAAAAAAGCTAATTTTCGGTAGTGGATGTTCTGCAGACGGATCATCATTATTAACAAAATGTGCGGAACAAATTTTAGTTATAAAGTTTTTACGAAATAATCTAGCCTGCTGCAGCCATATTTTCTTTGTATCTCTAGGAATTTTTTGGAGACTGATGACATGTCCATCTACAGTTTTACCTCTGAAATTGCCGCATATACAGCAGAAGTTCGTTTTCCGCGACCGATACCAAGAAACTGCGTTTTTGCTCGATTGTATGTCATAACATAGAACTTTTACTTACAAGAACACATTTGGTGACAATTAAAGGCCTATTTCATTTGAATTAACAGTGTTTCTAGAATTTTTAATTTGTAAAATAATTGATTGACTATATAGTATAAAAACTTTGAATGGAATTCTAAATGAATAATTTAATCTCATATCCTCATGTAACGAAGAAAGAGTAATTAAAATAGCATTGACCTGAATTCGTGTTACATATGTCGTATAAAGTCTGAGCTGCATTTAATCAAAGTTTTAGTGTAGGATCTAAGCATATGTACATGTATATTTCCGAGTAAAATACACATCTTGTTTAAGATCAGAGTATTGAGAGCAGAAACACGAAATTGATACAATAATTTCCTAGCGTATTTCTCGTTTATTAACGGAAAACATTCTTTTCTCAAGTGTTATTTATTTTTTTAAAATCCTTTCAGTGTAAGTACATGTATTTATTTTTATAAGTTATTCTTTTTTTGCAAAGTGTGTAAAAAACAATATCAGAGAGAGAGAGAGACAGAGAGAGACAGAGACAGAGACCCCGTGTAACTGACATACATGTACATCTGTGAAAAAATATATGTACCGTAATTTTATTGAATTCACAACTAATAATTCTAATAATTTTCAATTTTCACAACTATGGTTCATATTCAACTGTTCAACCCATTTACATATTCAGTATTCATTCTCTGTACCTGTACGCACGGGGGGGGGGGGGGGGGTCAAGTGGCTTAGCCCCACCCCCACTTTTTCCCCCAATATTACTTTTTCTATTTAAATTGTTCATTGATAGACCGGTTGCCAACCCCCCCCCCCCCACACACACACACAGTTAATACTACGGTAAAGTTTTATAAGGCAAATGTAGTATTGTATGCCAAGGAACTGGTACTGAAATAAGTAGCTTTTTCAACTTTGGGCAAGGTTTTTCTTTGCTTGCCAACTTTTCAAGGTAAGAAAAAATGTTTCTTTGCCTACCCCCCCTTTTAAAGACGATGCTACGTGCCTGGCTAATTCGTATAGCTTTCTAGAAAGGGGGGGGGGCTAACAGACCCTTTATAAGATAATTTATTATCTAAAAAAAAATACAAACCGTTTCCTTCTTTTAAAATTTTTAAATACAGCGCGTAAGTTTATCACTATTTTGTTAGATTATCGTATTCCCCATTTTCAAAAGGTGAGTTATTTCCCCTGAAGGTAACTCTTTTACTGTGTTTAATACGCATGCGCTATAAATAAAGTCACTTCCGCGGACGTTCTTGATGTAAACATGTTCATGGTGTATGCCTCTGTCATATGGAAAAATGTTATTGTGTTTGTGAATAAAAAGAAATCTTAACTGATTCGTATTTTTTTTAAAATTCCCCACTCATAGTCTCATTCTGGATTTGTATTAATCTGTGTAGTACTATAATAAGGTGCTGTGTGACCCCCCCCCCCTTACAAAAAAAAAAAGAAACAAATTACTATTAAAATGCTGATACATATTCGAATAGGCCTATTAAAAAAAAAACACAAACAAAAAAGCTAATTTTCGGTAGTGGATGTTCTGCAGACGGATCATCATTATTTACAAAATGTGCGGAACAAATTTTTAGTTATAAAGTTTTTACGAATTAATCTAGCCTGCTGCAGCCATATTTTCATTGTATCTCTAGGAATTTTTTGAAGACTGATGACATGTCCATCTACAGTTTTACCTCTGAAATTGCTGCATATACAGCAGTAGTTCGTCTTCCGCTACCGATACCAAGAAACTGCGTTTTTGCTCGATTGTATGTCATAACATAGAACTTTTACTTACAAGAACACATTTGGTGACAATTAAAGGCCTATTTCATTTGAATTAACCGTGTTTCTAGAATTTTCTATTTCTAAAATAATTGATTCACTATTTAGTATTAAAACTTTGAATGGAATTCTAAATGAATAATTTAATCTCATGTGCTCATGTAACGAAGAAAGACTAATTAAAATAGCATCGACCTGAATTCGTGTTACATATGTCGTATAAAGTCTGAGCTGCATTTAATCAAATTAAGTTTTAGTGTAGGATCTAAGCATAGCGTGTAGACCGCTCGGCTATCTAGGCAAGTTAAAAAACTTGCTTTCGATGCCGATGGAATTCTCACAACGCTGCCCTACACTACACGGTCATTGAGAATGGAAGTGAGATACAGTTATTTGGACATTAGTTTTTAGAGGATCGTTACCAATACATGTTGTGATGATATTAATTTTATTTATAAAGCACAAATTACAACAACTCTTAAACTAATATAACTGCCCTAAGTGAAGACATATTAATATAGAAAGCACAGGGAAATTCACTTGTACAAGCATACCCACTTCCGCCCCAGCCCGGGGTTGAACTCTCGACCTACGGAATCTGTCTCCTAGCAGTGCAGGAACAGCGTGTTAGACCGCTCGGCTATCTAGGCAAGTTAAAAAACTTGCTTTCGATGCCGATGGAATTCTCACAACGCTGCCCTACACTACACGGTCATTGAGAATGGAAGTGAGATACAGTTATTTGGACATTAGTTTTTAGAGGATCGTTACCAATACATGTTGTGATGATATTAATTTTATTTATAAAGCACAAATTACAACAACTCTTAAACTAATATAACTGCCCTAAGTGAAGACATATTAATATAGAAAGCACAGGGAAATTCACTTGTACAAGGATACCCACTTCCGCCCCAGCCCGGGGTTGAACTCTCGACCTACGGAATCTGTCTCCTAGCAGTGCAGGAACAGCGTGTTAGACCGCTCGGCTATCTAGGCAAGTTAAAAAACTTGCTTTCGATGCCGATGGAATTCTCACAACGCTGCCCTACACTACACGGTCATTGAGAATGGAAGTGAGATACAGTTATTTGGACATTAGTTTTTAGAGGATCGTTACCAATACATGTGATGATATTAATTTTATTTATAAAGCACAAATTACAACAACTCTTAAACTAATATAACTGCCCTAAGTGAAGACATATTAATATAGAAAGCACAGGGAAATTCACTTGTACAAGGATACCCACTTCCGCCCCAGCCCGGGGTTGATATATATATATATACTCATACAGTACACTGATTATCAACCCAAACTCAGCCTCTTTAATTACTTTTTAGCCAAATCTATCTTTTCATACCCAAGTAAATATATTTGATTACAATGATTTATTTTTATCTTCAGAGCTCGAATCTTTTATCTCTCTAGGCTGAATAGTGCAAATCAATAAAATATGTTTTATTATATAGCTAATAAATAGTCTCTAATAAAACAGTACCAAAAATCTAGAGAAGTTTAGCGTTTAATATCTTGACGTTTTATTGAAGGCTAACTGTGTGTTACGTATATGAGTATGCCCGAAACATTCCGAAATACGAGCGTTCAATATCAAACGCCCCCTTGTAAACAAAAAAAAAGTCGTCTGGTCAAATTCTCAGAACTATACTAAAGAAAGGAAGTGGTATCTGGCTAAGATGTGTTTATTTTTTACACTAAAATAAAATTATTTATTAAAATACAGTACGTATTAGACCCAATAAAACCTAAATAAGCAAATGTTATCGCTCTGTAGGGTCATGGGAGTGACGCGATATTGATCGCAGGACAGACGTTTACTTGAATACCGATACTAAAAAATCATTAATGTAAGGTCTTTTTTACTTTTTTTTAGTTGGAATATTTATTATAAATTATGTGGAAATGTCTTAGCTATATAATAAAGGAGTTATTGAACTTATATTGGTGAATATTGGCACTCGTTTGCTGTTAAAATGCACTCACAAGCCCGTGCATTTGAACAGCCTACTCGTGCCAATATTCACCAATATAAATTCAATAACCCTATAATATTCTTATTTAGCGTTTTTGTGAAACGGCAGTCAAATACACCAGTTGGGTTTGATATCCAGGCAATATTATCTTTGTTCCAAAATTGTGTCTATTTTGATATTGGAAAAAGCAAATCACTTATAGATTCTGTTCGCAACATAAGGAATAAATATTACTCCCACACAATTACTTTTGATATCAGTAAACAGTGTTTGGAAGACACAATAGATAAACTTATTCAACTGTTTCAGCATAAAACACTAAAGAGTTACGAAAGCTCAAATTTTACAATTAAGATGTTGAAAGTCCTAAGGAAGAAAAAGGCTGAATATGTGGATAGTAACACCCATGAACTTTGCAGACAATTAGTAAAATTCCAGTCTAATTCAACTGTTTCATGAAACAAAATTGACTTGTTTCTATCAACAGGGAATGTAAGCAAATTAGAAAGTAAAGGGAAATGGAGCCTTTGTAACATGTGTAAGCAATGTCATATTCTTACTATTCTCGTTCCCGCTCTGTTAATCATACCCTGGTACTTTAGAAAGCAAGAAGACGGTAGCAATTTAACTTTAGGTAAGTTTATTATTGTCGAAATTTGCATTTATAAGACAAAAAGGATGACTGCACTTAACGTTGTGTTTTGGGTCTTTTTCGGTCGCTTCTGTTGCTTTTAAAGCTTAATCTAACTTCACTGTTGTATATTTACTACAGTGGTCTGTCAAAAAGATATCCAACTTAAATATTAAAAATAATTGTGGACTGTAATTTCATAACTTTGTACTTACAGTTTTCCAAATTCAGATCATTTACAATTACCTGCCCTTGATTGAACATTATTTATGTATGAGAAGCGGAGCTAACATATCGTAATAATGAATCTAAAATTAGAATGGATGAATTACAATAAAATGTTTTTAAAAATACAAGAACTTTATTTTCCATCTTCCTATTAATTCTGTATGGCACAAGTACGTTATTTACAAAGGTTTAAAAGGCATGAGCTCATTTATGTAAAGAATATTTTAAATCGATGGCTGACTATTCAACGTGTTCGAGCACAATGTCCTTGTTAGCTAAAAACGTGCAACCTATATGTCACATGACGAATTTTTGCATTCACAAAATTACCTGAGGAAAGATATCACGTGGTGAATTATAATGCATTCAACGTGTCACAACCCTTGGTTACAACAGTGAGAGCGAATATAAGAAGAAGCAAGTTTTTCTCTTTTAAACCATGAGCGCAATATACAGCTTTTGTGAATAGGAGAGCAATAGATAAACATGCCCTGACTATGTTTAAGTCAGTAAAAAAGTGGGCGTCTTCAGTATCGTATGCAGATTGAAGAATTTGTGTTACCCCCGCCTTAAGAAAAAAGATTGGTATGCCGTAAATACGTACTTTTATATATTGTAATTAAGTAAAGTTGTAGATAAGATGTTGATCATTCCTGCAATTAAAAGAAAAATTTGTGTTTTGAAAGAATATTTTAACCCAATTTAGCAGATGCTTAAGTGCAGTCATCCTTTATCCGATTCTTGGTTATAATAAATGTTATTTCACCGGGTTTTTTTTAATTGAGTGTTGTTATTGAACACATTTTATGAACAATACATGAAACGGACTGGCATGAGTTTCAATAACTTTAGATAGCTCTCTCCAATACGTGAAATCTTAAAAGCTCTATATGTACAAAGTTTTACGAAAAAGAAACATAGAAAGAGTATTGTTTTTATAAGTAAGGAAAAATATCGATTAATAATAATGGTAATAAAATATTTATAAGATATCGATACAATTAAAAATGATTTTTATAGAGATAAGATAACATATTGTTAATTTAAACAACCCATTTTTTGAATTATTTTTTTAAATATAAAAACTTTTTTTTTCGTTTTCCTGTAAAGACAAGGATTCATCTAGACACACCCATGTTATGCATGTTCATAAGTTTTACTTTTTGAATTACATGTAATGCATTTCTCATTAAACGTCTAAATTTAAAATACACACACTCCAAAAATTATAACTTTAATTTATATCCCCCCCTCCCCCAACTTTAATTAAAAATTTGGAAGAGCTTACAATTTTTTAAAATATGGATTTTCCCCGTTAATTACACTCATTTGTCGTTCTATGCAATCCGATTGCACATTTTCTTAAGTTTCGAGATTGACCATGCTCGATACATTGTGCATGGTAAAAAAAAACAAGGTAAGAAAGAAACTCTGTAAACATTTAAATGAATAAGGGAGTCCCTGCTATGTCAAATATTTCCAAGGTAATAAAAGCATATCCTATCATAATTAATCAAAGTATCTGTCAATAAAATTTTCTATGTCTCGTTATTCTAAACTCCATCATTCGTGTTTTATATGTCGTAATCGGACGATTTTTAAAATAATCCGATAGATGATATTTCTTTTCATTGACAGCTTTGAAGGAGGTTTTGGTGTTTGCACAACCATCTCGCTTTATCTGATTGTTTGAAGTGATACAGTTTTAATCTCTAAGATTTAGTAAACTGAAAAGAGACTAAAAGTCCACCATAGAGGGACTAACTGGTAGATCCCTGCCATTCAGTTAACTTTCCAAACATTTTTCTGACTACTAATATTAAGTGACCTTTTTCAGACCTTTCAGTGTCTAATCAGTGACCTCTCCAGACTTTTTTTTTTTGCCCATCAGTGACCTTTCTAGACCCTATTATACCATTCAGTGACGTTTCACGACATTTAAATGAGCATTCAGTGTCCTTACCAGACTTTATAGTGACAGCTTAGTTCACTCACCGAGATATATAAACCTTTACAGACATTTAAATAAGCATGTATGCTTTAACGTTTCCATAGCTTTCAGTGACAACACGGTTAATACAGCCATTCAGCAACTTTTTTGCAGGCATTTGCAAACCTTTTCCAGACCTTTGAGTGACCACTGAGTCACGTTTCCAGACCTTTTAGTGAACATTCAGTTGACTGAATAGCGTATGGTCATCTGTGTTTGTTAAAATAACTATTGAATATGTTAAGGGATGGGAAATCATAAATAAACATAGAATCATTTTTTAAATAATGTATTATTTCTTTGCCAATAGGTTGCAAAACATCTGATTATGAGCATCCATACGAGTTGGACATCGACTTTGAATTCTATCGGTCTGCACATGGTGAGTTAGTAGGTCGACAATGGTTGCTTTATGATCTGGAAAATAAATTGATTGTTTCTTCGAGAGGTGTCATGATGATAGCAGAAATGGGTTATGGTAAATCAGCAATAATGTCTCATCTAGTGTGTCAGGACGATAAACGAGGTGCAGGATATTCAATTTACCAAAATATTTCTGTTTTCCATATTTGTACTTTTGAATCAAGAAAGACATTGCTGCCTGGATTATTTGTCAAAAATATGATTGGTGGTTTTGCTAAACACATACCGAAGTTTAAAAAACATATAGAGAAGAACAGAAGATTTAAAGCTTATATTGAAGGTGATAAATGTATTGAAGATCCAGAAGGGTGTCTGGACTTTCTTATCATCAAAACATTTCAAGAACTACCAAGCGATGCCTCTCCGCATATCGTTGCTATAGATGCTCTAGACGAGTGCATTGAAAATGAAGGGTTTAATATCCTAAGTCTCCTTCTAAAAAGGATTTCAAACTTTCCAAATTACATAAAATTTCTCATCTCAAGTCGTAAAATATCACCAATATCTCAAATAAGCCGTCATTTGACTGTATATGAACTTATGCCAGAGAGCTATAAAAATAAAAGAGATATTTCCCTTTTGGTCGAAAAAAAATGGACACTTTTTCAAGAGGAAGAAGTCCACCGCATCCAAGATACATTTAAGACTTCAGATATAAAGGAGATTAGCAATAAAGTTGAAGGATATGCGAAAGGAAATATGCTTTTTGCATTACATGCCTTGAAGTTCTGGTCAGGAAATAAAGACTTATCTCTAAATGGCCCTCTTACTCTTGAAACATTGTTTTACAATCAATTTTACAGAATATTTGAAAAAGATGAGGAAAAATTTAGCCTCGTAAGAAAAATTTTGGAACTATTATGTGCAAGCAGTGAACCCCTGTCCGAAGAGGATATTTTTGGGATTGCAAATATTTCTGATGCTGAGCAGGAAGAGGTTATAAAAATAATAGGCAATGAATTAAATCACTTTGTCAGACAAACGAATGGGAAAATTGTATTTCTACACAAAACTCTTTCTGATTTCCTGACAAAAAAAGGGAGGAGAAGAGAAAAATTTTATATTTCAAAACAAAACGGTTGTTCGCAATTATCTGGCCACTTGCTTAAGAAAGTTCACGTACAACATGGTTTTAAAGGCATTGACATTTTTTTATTAACCACATATGTATCTTGTTCAACAAACCAAAAATTAAAAAATATCTTTCTAAAGTACGGCATAAAATACAACTCAAGTATCGAGTACAAGATGAGTAGTATTCATCATCGTCCAATATTCCTGCTTCACCGAGCATCACTAATGATGAATTCTTACAGCAGCATGTCTCTTTTTTTAGACTTATACTTGAAATTGCCATTTACTTATGTTGATGAGTATGATGATGGAAATATAACTGCTTCTTACGTGGCTGCGGCGTATGGAAATCACAAAACACTGCTAGCACTTTTGAAATACGGAGCTGATGTGAATTTTACTAGACTAGGACCAAGAATAATAAGTTCTACTTTTAACAACATTGTCGAATTTAGCAAAACATATGCTCAATGGCAATACAACCTATTGAATATCGCATCCCAAAATGGACATCTTGAAATTGTCCGTGTTCTCTTCCGGAACAAAGTGAATGCAATACATAAATCTGTTTGCAGATTAAACTCTTTCCATCTAGCATCAGAATTTGGACATCTTTCAGTCGTGAAATATTTTCTCATGAACCACAAACGTGAATTCCGTAAAAGTTTGAACTTTTCTTTGTACCTGGCATCAAGGAATGGGCATGACGAAATTGTAAGAATATTGCTATATCATGGGGCTGTTGATGCTTGCCTTCCGTGTTCTGGAAGAATGTATTGGACCAAGTTCCATCAAACCCGTTTGCAAGTTATAGACAACGAATTTGATTTCAAAACATTCAACTACGTTTGTATGGATGACAAACGACTGATACGATGCGAGACTGCAGTAGAAATAGCAATTCAAAATGGACATACGGAGACTGTAAAACGCTTGATAGAACATGGCACTACAAGTTTACAATGTAGGGAAGCTGGTGGAAGAACCCCTCTCCTAACAGCTGTAAGGTTTGACCGGACAGAAATTCTACAATATTTTATGTCTCTCAATGTGTCTTTTAACCAGCATTGCATTACTGCATATCAGAAAAGGGATGATTTTGATTTAAGCAAAGCAGAGGAAATGGAATACGACAATAACATATGTGTGAATGACATGTCTTCTTTTCACATGGTTGCAGAGTATGGAAGTTCGAAGAACTTGTTGATTATGTATAATAAACATAGAAATGCCTTCTGGACGGAGCGCGATACATATGGTGCTACACCATTACACTATCTAGCTTGTAGAGGGAGACAAGAGCTAAGGAGTCATTTTGAAACTGAATATTATGTAAAATCATATAATGGTTCAACACCACTGCATTCTGCAGCTATTTGTAAACAATATTTTCTTCTTTCTAACCTTTTTCAAAGAATTTCTGTACCACTTTTTGATTATAGGAATCAGAGTGTAGTTCATTATCTTGCTCGGAGTGAAAGTTATAAATCTGAAAATTTTAAGTCCATCATTATCAACGGAAAAAACATTAAAAAACAAGTTATACAAAAAATAAGAGAAGAGTTATTCTTACAAGATGATAAAGGGAGAACTGCAATGCACCATGCAGCTATTAATGGTAATATAAAATTTCTTCAACTTTGTTTAAAAATCCGTTGGAATCAGAATGTATGGAGCAAATTATTAAGTCTTCCGGACTTCAACAATGCAACAATACTGGATTTGGCTTTTGATAATTTGCCACAAATAAATGATTTTCCAGCAGCAATACCAAGTTCTACTTGCTTACCATCGTTTAGCAGTTTTTGTCGACCTACAATGTTGGCAAGAATGAATCCGCATCAATACTTTATTTACTTAATCCTTGAAACATCATTTACAAATGATATATTCAAAACAAAAATTTCCATATACATGAAACGTTGTCTACAAAGGGGTAATATCCTCATTTTTCATGCCATATGGACAAAATGTTTTCAACGTGAAGATAGTAGTTATGAATTAGCCATGAGTTTGCAAGATTGTTTTAATACACTCCCAACCCTGGATTACATAGATCCAGAGTATTTCTCTTTTATCCCGTTATCAGCATTCATAACCTGCAGGTGTAACGATTCTAAAACATTTACATTCCACACACTGATGGAGGACCCTAAAGGATCATTCAGACTTTACTTAAACAACCTTTTACAGGAAAACATGAACTGTACAAATATGAATTTCTGCTATGACGACGAAGGATTTAATCCGTTACACAGGACAGTTGTAAGCGGCAATTTTCTGGGTTTTGAATTTTTATTGAAAACTGGAATGTCTGTTAATATCAAAACAAGAGACGGAAGGGACATATTGCAATTGCTAGTTGATTACAAATCGTGTATTCCTAAATATTTAGAAATTGAGAAATTACTTTTATTCAACTTGTCATCATCAAGCATCAGGGACGTTTCTCGATTTCTCATTGCTCAAGGTAAAATGTATAATGAAATTGAAGAGTACATTGCAAATAATACAACGCTTATAACGACCAGGACATCGATACAAATATGCGACCGTGAATCGATTTCTCTCAGCTTTTCACATCTTGTAGCCGCTAAAGGGCTCATGAAAATTTTAGGTGCTATAAAAGAAAAATTCGGAGAAAAAAATTCCAATTGTACAAATAGTCTTAAGATTTCGACTTCATACATTCTAGGTATCTTAAGTCATGATCCACAATACTTACTTCGCCCGGAAGGAAACTTTATTGAATATCAAATTGTTCCTACGTCTGCATTATACCTGAAGTTTGCGTACGATTTTAAGACATTCGTGTACCCAAAAGGTTCTGCTCTTTGGAAATGTAAACAAAGAATATTAAATTTCAAAAACACAAAAGCTTTGCTGAGCTGTGTCGGTAAACTTGAAGAGGAATTATGGTTATTAATGTCCCAGCTTTGTAAATTGTCTGGTATAAAATCTAAACAGGATTTTACAAGGATGTGTCAGATTTGTAAATACGATAATGTCACTTCTGCAAAATCTGACTTTGACTGTCTCATCAAAAAGTTAAATATTTATTGGAAAAATCAAAAAGTATTTAAGTACATGCACTTGAAGGAATATCACACCTACGAAATTGAAGTGAAAAGGCTAAAATGTGAAATGAAAAGTAGGGAGAATAGTGAACTATGTCTGTTCATCTTCGCCAAAATGGTAAATATGAAACGATGGAATAGATTTGTATTTCGTAGAGAAAGTACCTTGATACCATTTTTAACAATTACTTACTTATACGAGCATGAGATAATGAAGCCCTTTTCCTTATATCTTTCTATAGAACTTGTTTCCGAGTTGAGTCATAAATTGATAAAAAATTCAATGCTGTACTCGCTTAAAAATCCCGGATTTCAATCTTCCAAAGAATATGCATACTGGGATGTTTTGAGAACCCCAAGCGACAAAAGATCAAAGAAAGCTGTTCAAGCAATTCTTAATTCTTCTATATCTGATATTCGAAAATGGAAGAGCACAGAACGTAGTAGGCTTGACTTCACAGACCATTTACTTCGCACGAATCGAGATAATGTTCTTCCCAAAGACAGACCGCTACACAATTATGAAAATCTTACAGACGCAAGACTATGATCATCTTGGAATATAAAAAAACCCGTATATTTTATAAACCACTGAGAAAGAAGTTGTATTGTGCAATTCATTTGGGCAATGATTTGAAAGAAAGTGAATCTGCAAGCATGTAATACTATTTTAAATTTTGCATTCTTGTAAAGATCTAAAGATGCTCATGTGATTTATTCCAAAGAATATTCTTTGCAGCTATTGTGAAGTCCTTTTTAGGGTCTCAAATGGCATTATTATTCACTAATATGTTTTTTTAAAACATTTTATTCCTAATGACTAGTACATTAGTTTCATTTATACACTGAATAAAAGATTGACTTTTAAATGAAACTTAATTGTATAATGATAAAAATATTGTGTATACAATATTATACTTTCAACAGTGGCTTACCCCACTCCATCAATAATAAACATATCAATTTGAAAACTAAAATTGACTGAGTTTTTTTAGTATACTTGACTATAATAAAGAAAAATAGCAGTATGGTGCAATACCTTGTTCGGTTTTATTTTAAAGGCTAAATAAATAGAAGTAATATTGTGTATACACTGTTATACTTTTAACAGTGGTTTACTTCCACTCCACCTAATAAAAAATCTCAAAGTGAAAACTTTTTTTTATTCTAGCGCTTATAGGATAACCAACACTTAGACAAAACTGCAAAAGTATTATAAAACAAATATAAGTATTTTCCCTTTTAAAATGCACGTCTGATCAATCTTGATATGATCGTGTAATTGGCATATACAGAGTATATGTGTTTTACAGTTACTTCGAATTATCATTGATATTGAGATGAACACATTTGTTGTAAGCAGATTTTTTTTTTCATTATATGTGTAACTAGTATTTGGTCAGTAACAAATTTAATGTTCTCCATTAATTACCCGTATCTGTCCTCCTCTGATCCGGGATAATTTAGTTTTTAAAGTTTCATTGCGCAGGTTTTTTGTTACCCTGTCTCTCTTGACCCCACTCACTGCTTCACGGATGGGCTGCCTTGGCTGCACTGTGAACTTATTTTTGACTGCATTTCATTCAAAATTTTTCTGGCCTCTTTATAGTCTTTGTTTTCCTGTCAATGTAGAGAACTTTTATAATTTAGACCATGATTGATCTTAGAATCCTCTTTATTGTTAATACCCGTTCATAATTGTGGTCATGAAATACACTTGGCATTTGAAAGAGTATTTGCCTGGCCAGCTTAGAACTGTTTGTTCTCTCAGTTTTAGCTAATGAAAAATCTTAAATTTAAAAATCTCCTCTCGGCCCTTCTGTGTCCCATGATAAGCATGCCCGAATTACCCCCCCCCCCCTCCAAAAAAAAACTGCATACATTTCCAAGAACAAATTCGATGACCATATCGACGATATCGACAATATTATGTCACTATCGTATCTATCTGATTAGTACTATTAAGTGAATTGGGGATGTTATTGTCTTGGGTTAGGTTTAGAGTAAGATGTTGGGTGAGGGTGAAAGTTGGTAAATACATGTTTTTAATAATTATGGTTCGATATCGATTCAATATCGATACAATGTAAACGATATCTAAAGTAGGGTTAAGTTACTAATTAGAAACGTACAGTTGCACATGTATTGCATTGCATTTAGAAATACAGAAGGTATTGTCCTGGGTTATATTAAAAGTAAGATTTTGTGTTATGGGGGAGTTAGTAAAGCATTGTGTTTTAACAATCATGATTCGATATTGATACGATAATGATGGCAAGTATACACTTTGTGAAGGTAATATATTGAAACATA